CTGACATTTCATCAAATGCTCCTGTTTTAAAAAAATATTCATACAAATTTGTACTCCATGCCATACAATATGCACATCTGTTTTAGTGTAAAATATTTCCACCTCCCTCCTCCAAACCCGAAGTTATAGGAAGAAGTGCAGCTTTATCCTGTAACTTTGAGTAGCCCACTTCACGCCTGTCTGTGTTTCTCAGCTGGGAGCCACTCCCACCTAAAAGTGTTCATTGTAGGACCCAGGGATTCTTCAGCTAAGCAGGGCCCTTTCACTATTACCTAGAAATGCCCTTGAAATACTGTAGTATGATTTTTTTCTTTTTGCAGTGAGCATGCATGCATCTGAGGACAGTCATTAAGGGTAGGATTTTGTTCATCTTTGGATCTCCCACAAATCTAGCACAAGACCCAGCACGCAGGAGGCCTTTGGTTAAGATTTGTGAATTTTGTAAAAAGGACTCCTTCCTTGGATCAACGGCATGCTGGGGGCTTCCTCTGTCTCAGGCTTTCCTTTAGGTGCTGGAGATGGTGAAAGCGGGAGATGCAGTCCTGTCCTCTAGTCCACTGGCTATGGAACAGAGGGCTATGGGGTGAAATAAGGGGTGAAGGATTCTGTCAAGTGTGATCAAGACCCTCGTACCAGAAGTTCAGCTCATTCGCTAATTTGTGGAGGTTTGCAGTCTAACTTCAGGAGCTTAGAATTACAGAATTTCAGGGTTAGCAAGCTCTTAATACCACCCAGCCCAACTCCATTCAGAGCTGTAGAGCCTCCAATGACCTGCTCATGGCCCTCTGAACTCACCTCCTCCCCAAGCCACCAGCCTCATGGCTGTGAGAAAGCATCTCTGTAAACTCGCCTGGATTTCCCCCAGTGGTCCTCCCTCAGGGCTACACAGAGCAAGCCTGCTCACCCCTGTGCAAGGCAGCCCTTCAGACATTTGCAGGTAGAGCTCAGACCTTCCTGGGGACTTTCTGGTCTTAAACAGTCCCCATTCCGTCGTCAACTGTGCATCCAAATAGATAGATGGACTTTAAGGAAGCTGAAGCTTAGGGGACATCCGTCATAACAACAGCCTTCCTGGGGCAAGACTCCCTTCAATAATATCTTTGAGGAGAGGACTCCAGCATGGGCTGAACCACTGAAAGTAACAGTGGTGGTTGGGGGGTGGGGTGGTCTCGTTACCCTTGAGAGGCAGCCCACGGATTTGCTTGACAGGTGTCCGGCCACCAGGTACTTCCCTGTAGTGATCTGGTGTCTACCTCCTCCCTCTCCTTCCACTGGTCCAGGGATCACTGACCAAATGCCTCTTTCACTAACACTGCACCGCCAAATCCCAGAATCCCCCAACTCTCAGTATGAAGGGTCCTCTCAAAAGATCGAAAGACATATACTTAATGTGTATGAATTTATAATCACAGCATAGTCAGTTCGGGAAATTCTTTAACTCTGGGGGAGTCACAGGCTGGAAAAATCACCGAAGGCAACAACCACCACCGCTAATATCAACAGCGTTTCATCATGTACTGATGTGGGAACGGCTGGCTGTCATGTTGCGTCCTTGCGGGAGACAGCGCTGGCTGCTCACCACCTGTTCTTCAAACACAGAGCTGGGAGTGGGCCCGGATTAACAACCCTCCCCCAGCCACCACCATTTCATCCATCGCTATGTCCAACAGACTGCTGAAATGTCTCCACGTCCTCCTCGACAGCTGCTTGTCCCACGCCCCAGTGGCAACCAAGTCCTCCCGTCTCTTCCGAGGATGATGGAACAGCCTCCTCTCTAACTTGCTACCCTGTCTGCTGCCTCTTTCCTTTCCATCCATTCTGCACTGTGTGGCCAGGGGAATTTTTCAGAGCTCACCATGGAAATCTGCTTAAGAACCTCCCCCAGTCCCTCCCTTTGCTTTTAAGGTGAAGTCCAAACATCTTGACTTGGCCTTCAACAACCACTGTCACCTGTCCCACGCAACTGAGTCTTACCTCCCTCATGCCCCACTGCAAACTCCACATCTGCCCACACCGAACGAGGGATTCATATCTTAACATACGCTCGGCTGTTTCATGCTTTTGGCCAGGCAGAGCCTCGACTTGGGGTATTTTTCTCCCTTTCTATGCCTGGAAACTGTTTCTGTAACTTTTTAAGTTTTAGATCAAACAAGCCTCATACTTGAAGCTATCCCCGAGTTCTGCAGACAGAGCTGGTCATCCTGGGCTCTCAGAACACCGCACACCACTCTGTTTCTGCTCTCATCATCCAGTTGTGTTGTGTGTTTACATGCCCACGAGCTCCTTGAGGGCAGAGGCCGCGTCTGATTCATATCTGCACTCCTCCTGCTGAACCCCTGTGCTCAATAAATGTTTGATGAACGACTGAAAGAAAGAATGATCATCATTGGAAAATCGCTCATCAGAGCCCTGTGCATCAGTGTTGCCAAGAGATGTTTTCATCAAATGTGGTTTCTCAGTGTCAGTATCTAACGCTGTCCTGGTTCAGCCTGAAGCATTGGAAATTCAGAAAAGCTTGTGAGGGTTAGAGGAAATTCATTTTATTTGTTAAACAGAAAATCAGGCTATGAGATAGAACACTAAGATATGCAAATGTCTATCTTCTTTGTAGGAGAACCTGGGAGAATCATACTAGATTATTTTGAAATTAATTCAGTCTGAGTGTCTGTGGAGCTTAAATGTGGTCCTCAGGAGAGTAAATAACGCATAATGTGTTTGAAATCAGAAAGGAGATTTGAAATGTATCTGGTAAAAGCTCCTTTCAGCCCAACTTCTGCACCAGAACATTCTAGTTGGTAGGATCCCCATGTAATTTGCAAAGATTAAAATCTGTTGAAAGAAAATTAGCCCAAGCACAACACTTTAATCATTTAAGAGGCTCCTGCTGGCTTCTTTGGGCCTTGTCAATAGCGACTCCTCACCAATGAGGGCTTAAGGATGGATTCCAGGTCACTTGATAAATATTGATCATTTTGCATTAAGCAAAAATTTCACATATGTTAATTTTTGAATATCAAGCGAGAGTGGCTGCTCTGGGTCTACAAATTAGAAATTTAAAAATAATATTCCCAAATGGTTCCCTCTTGCAAAAGGATCAAAGATGTAGTTGCCAAGGCACTCTGGGAGTTTAAATTAGACATATGCTAAAGTGGTTGAAAACTGCCCAGTGCCCAGAGCCCCACAGGCCAATGCTGCCTGCTTTGTTGGTTGCTACGCCCATTCAAGCAGAAATTGCATGGGGCTACCTTTTCAAGGCCATGGCCTGAGATAAGGGAAGGAGGGAGCTGGATCTGTGGTGTCTTTGCCTGGAGGACTCCCATTTTACAGGAGTGTTTCCTTCTCCGCCATAGTCAGGGATGGGCAGGCGAGACGGGGGGTGCGGAGAGGACCAGCCATGGTACCGAAATGTCTAGATCTGCACAGGAGATGGGGCCGAGCCTCTCCAGCTGAGATGCACCTCGGGGCGGTGTAGGAAGGGCTCTGTGAGGGCTGGAAAGGAGGCAGAAGTGACTGGGTGCTGGTCTGGGATGTCAAAGCAGCCTAGGCTTTGGATTTAGCCAGCTTCACACCTCTCAGGCCATGTGATCTTGGCAGGTGACTTCATCTCAATTTCTCTTCTTAGAGGTGGGGTTGCTGTGCTTATTCACATCAAACTGCATGAGGCTGGACATGCAGAGGCCGAGGCTCACAGACAGAGGGCTCTCAAGGGGGTGGGGTGCTTACTTCCCTCAGGAACACTCACTCACATCTGGGTGATGCCAAGTCCCCAGAGCCGCAGGTGCCTGGCTGGGCTGTGACCTCCAGAGGCTATTCCAGGACAGCCCACAGGCCACTGCCCATCCTCCTCTTCCTCCCAGTGAGCTGAAGCAGCCCTCTTGCTAAGCAAGCCTACTCTGTGCCTAGCCCCACCCAGAGACAACAACTGTTCCTCCCGAGGCACACACTCAAGGACCCCGGCCTTGCCCGTCAGCATGTCCAGCCCATACCACCAAACACTGAGCTCCTAGGGTCAGCTTCAGACCCTGTGCAGAGATCTTGGTGGCTGGGGCAGAGCTCTGAGGGCCCCAGGGTCATGGAGAAGAGCGAGGTGGGAGCTTCCAAACTACATTTCAGCCTCCTGCTAACTCTTCATCCTGTCTCTTTCCCTTCCTAGAATCTCCCCTTCTAATGCAGGGTCATAATCCCTGCCAGAGGGACAGACCTAAACACGCCCTGGGGTGGCACAGCCTCACCTCCCCCAGAACCAAATCTGCCATGGTCTGTGGCCCCCGTGACCCGGTTGAGTAGCCCCTCCAGGCTCTTCTCTGGCTGCCCCTCGCTGTGCCTCCAGGATCCAGCCACACCTGACTATCTGCAGTTCCCTGGGTTTTGATGTCTCACAACTTTTGCACATGCTGTTCCCTCTCCTTGGAATGCCTTTCACTCCTAAATAGAGCAGCCTCCTACACATTCTTAACATTCCAAGGTAAGTACCCTATCTTTTGAAAAGCCACCAGCCCTGCCCTACACCACCCCATCCCACCACCAGTTTCCTGCAATGTCCCATTCACGGACCACAAGGGGGAGCTGAACAAGGGCCCAGCAGACCCTGTAGACAATCTCAGGTGTGAACCCCACTTCGCCCCAGGAAAGTGAGCCCCACTCACCTCCTTGGGGCCCGGTGCGTCCATCCATCTCCCTGCTGTGTCCAGCCTGCAAGCCTACTCTGCTCCCAGCCTGACCCGGAAACAACAGCTACTCTCCTGCAGGCACACACCCAGCTGCCTCCCTGACCACACACCTCCGGGCTTCCCTCTGCCTCTTAACTTGAAGGAACAAAGGGAGGAAATGCAGCCCTGTCCTGTGCCTGTATATGAAACCCCTGGCACATAGTAGGTAGGCACTCAGCAAATCTCTGAGAATCGGCCTGGAGGAGCAGGCTCACTATTGCCAAAGTGTCCCCCTCCTCCCCTCCAGCCCCTCCTCTCTTCCAGTTTTTGACCATGGCCACACTGTGTCACCTGAGAGAACTGCCAGTGAAGCTTCATCCTCTTGGCTTTGGCGTAACTGCACTCGATGAGCCGTGGCCGGCTGTTGACATCCACCAGGCACCGGTTGTCATCGTCATCGACTGTGGGGCTCAGGATGCCCACATGGATCTGCTGACTGCTCGTGTAGTACACGTTCTGGGGGTGGAGGGAGGGAGGAAGAGTGAGGGTCGATGCCAATGGCCAGGGGGATGAGAGGGAAGGTGGTGATTCTCACCGGGCAGCTGGCAAAGAGGTCACAGTCAGGGAAGACCCTGGATTCTTTATGGCCAGTGGCCTTCAAATTATTTTCTATTGCAATAGATAAGAAGAAATCCTTTTAAATTATGATCCAGTACAGTATCTATTCCACATATATAACTAAACCAAAATTTTCAAGAAAATAAAACTTACTCTTACTATATGTAATACACTCTGATAATTTCTATTCTGTTCTTTCATTGAAAAACATTGGTCATAACCTTTTAAATTTATTCCACCACCCACAGTGTAAAAAAACCACCTCATGAATCCATTATTTACAGACTCACCGACTTCCTTCCCTCATAAATATTTGGTGCCAGGTACTGTGCTTTATCAGTAGGTGCAGGGCAAAACACCTGGGCGTGCGTCAGGGGCTCAGGGCCCTGCGGGCTGGGAGATGTGTAGCATGTTTTCTGTTCACACTAAGGCGTGCGGAGCAGGGGCTGGCTCACTTTTTTTAAAGGGCCAGATGGCAAATATGTTTGGCTCTGTGGGCGTGTTGGGGAGTCCCCAAGATTACCCCCAGTTCCCATGATTCTCTGCGAGGACTCACAGGACTCAGCCTACGAGTACTCATTGCTGTGATTTATTACAGGGAAAGGATACAGGGCAAATCAGCAAGGGGAAAGGCATCTAGCAAGGTCTGGAGAAACCAGGCACAAGCCCCCGAGGGTCCTCTCCCAGTGGAGTAGCACAGGACGCGCTGAATTCCCCCTAGTTGTGACAACACATGAGAAATGCTGTCTACTGGGGAAGCGTGGTAGGGATTCAGCACCCAGGATGTTTACTGGGGGCCGGTCACATAAGCAGCCTCTGCCTGGCATATACCAAAATTCCACACTTCCAGAAGGCAAGCAGTTGTTAAGCATAAACCGTATTGTCAAGCATGAGCCATATGCCTGAACTGACTGATGTACCTGAACAATCGGTCTAGGTGTAGTGAGCCACTCCTGCCAGTTCTGATGGGACTCCTCCTGCAGTCCAAGCTCTCAGACGCCCAGCCGGGGGCCTGTGTGGAGCGCAAGCCTTCAGAGGACAGCGGTCACCTAGCTCTGTGACCTGTTTTAGCACAGAGGACCACACAGTCTCTGAAAGCTCAACTCTGCTGTGGGAGGGCAAGCACACCCGTAGAAAATACATAAATGAATGGCTGTGCTCCACTAACACTTCATTTACAAGGACAGGGGCTGTCCCACGGGCGGTAGTTTGGGCCTGGCCTAGAGGAAAGCTACATGACCCTTGGCCTTCAAAGTTTTTGGTAACTTCTCTCAACCCCGAGCAGTCGTTTCCAACCAGCTTCCCAACCGAGCGGGAAGTCACAGGGCTCTGTGAGCTATTTTCCTCACTTACTAAAGGAACTCACCCTCTGTTTTCCCATCCCACATGATTAGGCCCCCTGGGCAAACCAAAATCCCACATTTCTCTGCTTTAGGTTAGAATATTCAGGGTGGACTCTCTTGTTATCTTGACATTTTCAAAAATTCTCATCAGCAAATATCTTCGATTAATTGGTAAATGGTAAAATGACGTTTCTTGCTTTAGTGAAAGAGGGTGGTTGACAAGTACTTTTTAAACCTGGGTGCCAGGCCACAAAAGGGACAGAGGAGGTAAGAAGGCAGTGCAGGAGAGCAGGGTAAGGGTGGTCCCACATGGTGTGTTCTTCCCTACCCACAGGAGTCTCTCTGAGCACCCAGGGAGGGTTGCAGGGCAGGCAGGGTCACCTCTCAGGCCAGTGTATCAGTTAAGACCTCAGCAGGAAACAGATGGCACACTCCAGGTGAGCGATCTGGAGTGTGTAATAAAGGTACAATTTTTAAAGGTATGGGTAGGGTGTCAGGAACCACAAGGGAGAGCATAGTTTTCTAGGGATAGTAACATGGAGATGTTGCCACCCCTAGGCCCAATGGGATGAAAGGAGAGAGCAGTTACCAGGACCTGTGAGTGAAGGCTGACTCGAGAGTAGGGTTTGGGGGTAATGGTGAGGAGTGCTGAATAAACACCCCAACTTCACCTCCCCTCCCCACTCCACTCCTCTGCAGGGCCAGAGCACTGGCAGAACCCAACTGGAGACCAGAGATCGTGGGAGCCCACTGGGACATTCCATAAAGCCAGCCTCCCGGGGTGGAAGGAAGTGAGTGGAGAGTACATCTGGAGAGACAGGCAGAACACGTTTGTTACCGCTAAGATCTGTTCTCTGAGGTCATCTTACAAGTCATCAGGCTCTGTGAATCTATGTAAATAGATATCAAAATGACTAAGGTGATTGATTCTTCCCATAACAGAGGTGAAGGGTCACAGTGACCAAAATTCTGAGCAGAGGCCAAATGTGGAATGCCCAGTTTCAATGTGGAAATATTACCAGAGCACAGAGGCAAAGCTACACTGGGCAAGAGGTGGGCTGCTAATGGAAGCCCTGAGACTGTCCACTGCATGGCCTGGGTTTCCAGGTCACCACCGAGGAAAGCGGGTGCTCTGTTGTGGCTTCTAGTTTATTGGGATTGAGGGAGAATTTGACAACTGGTAGGATTTAGAAAATTAAACAGCTACGCAGTTAGGCATCACATCCATTTCATCCACTCCACCAAGAAATAATCTCTAAGTTGGGTTCTGGGGATGCACAGATGAGAAAAGCCAAAGTCCCTGTCCTGGAGGAGCCACAGCCAAGTTGGGGCAACCAAGAATGTACCAGGAAATAATGGCCCTGATCACACTAATGTGAGAGCTGTCCCTACTTCCTTCACTCACCTACCCCAACTCTTGCTACTCTGGAAACAGGAACGAGAACTCGCAGCCTCCAGAAAGTCTTTCCTGAATGTGCAGCAGTGTGGGGCTTCAGCCTGTGCCTGCCGCCTGGCCTCCCTCCGAAAGGTGCACGCCTGTTCATGCCCTTGGGCTGGATGCACCATGACCTCCTCAGGACGGTGTGGCTCTTAGGCATCTGCGTGCCAGGACCCAGATTTCCTGAGGCTCTGGAGTATGGGCTGCAAGACAAGGACAGCAGGGAGCCAGCCACTTCCATCCCCTTCTCTGTCATTAGAGCCTGGCTCTCATCTCCAGGGTGGGCTCCACAGACATGAGCGGCCACTCAGGTAATAGCCAAAATCAGTTTTATCCACTTAGCTACTCTGAAGAGTCTGGGGAGATGCTCTGAGAGATGTGTGTGCACTTACTATCGGGTATAGCTGTCATCAGAGTTGTTTATTGCTCCCGAGTTTGGGAAAATCATAATAGGGACAGACAGTTGTTTGCTATTTAAAAAGCAAACAACAAAGTGCATCTTGACTGGGGTAACCATGAGCTGGCAGATCACAGAGAGAGATTTGGCAAAGAGGGTTCTCACACGTCCTCACTTGGACATTTCAGAAGCCCAGCTAGGAGCAGATTGAAGAAATCAATGGCCCCAACACAAAAAGGGGGAGCAGTTCTGTGCGAGATGTCCACTTTCCGTGCCTGCAGGCCCAGCAAGCACTGCTGAGCTTTCTGAGCAACAGGGACTCTCGAAGGTTTAAGCAAGAAGTGACTTAGAACTGTGGGCCTCAGTGAGGGGCGATTTTGCTGACCAGGGGATACTTGGAATGTCTGGAGACGTTTTGGTTGTCAGGGCAGAGGAGGAGTGCTGGGAGCTGCTGGCATCTAGGGGGTAGAGGTCAGGGATGCCGTTAACATCCTGCAATGTGCAGGACAGCCCCCACAGCGAAGATCTGGCCCCACGTGTCAGCAGCACCGCTGCTCAGATACCCTGACTTGGACTCCTGATGATAAAAGCTGAAATGTTTGTACCTCTCGCTGTGTGCTGGACATGAAGTGATTTCCATGTTTTAGCTCGTTTAATCCTAGTAATAACTCCATGAGGCAGGTACTCTATTACCATGCCCCCGCCATTTTGTAGACGAGGAAGCCAAGGCACAGAGAGCTTAAGTAACATGTCCAAAGTCACACAGTTGGCGAAGAGTAGCTGAGACTGAAGGGAGGCAGTCTGACTCCAGAGCCACACGTGGGACCGCCCACCTCCCTCTCCTGCCTCCCAGGCTGGAGGGCAGAGGGATGGCTGGGAGACCAGCTTCCACTGAGGTCCCTTCGAAGCAGGGAGCCTGGACTAGGAGAACCAGAGGGCTGGACGGGCCTTTACTAGAAGGCACGTAGTAAAGGATGCTGCGAAGTGCTGAGACAGCACGGCCCTCCTGTAACTCAGCCTAGGCGAGCTGTTATCCTGTCTGTGGATGTTTTACAACCCCCCGGGGCATAGAAATGACATCCCAGACCACTCAGCTCCTCTCAGCTGTGAATGATTGATTCGGCTCACTCTCCACTTGGCCCCACACAGCTCAGCAGCGCTGCAAACCGGGTCTCCAGCATTTCATTCCGATGCTTGCAAGAGAAAGAGAAAAATCACCTGCAAGGTAGAAGAACCCACACATCGTACCTCAGGTCTCAGTGGCATTTCCTCTCCTCCCTCCGGGCCAGGGACAGGAGGAATGACTAAGATTCAGCCACACAGCCCGCCAGGGAGCCACAGTGCCCTGCTTGCACACTAGCCCCTCAGGGTCACAGAGCCAAGGTGGGGCAAAGCCTCCTAGGGCTGGAGATTCCCCTGGCTCCGTCCCCTACCTTGGGACAAAGGCTCCCACCCTGCAGGGTGCAGGTGGACCCTGCTGCCTGCGTGTCCTCAGCAGCCCTTCCCATCCTGGTGGGTGTGGGGTGTGCTGCTCTTGCAGAATCTCACTTAGGGTCCTGCACAGAAGCCGCCCCTCACATGAATCAAGCTTCACCTTAGTGACAGAAACTTTGTCCCTGGGAGAGGGGATGGCCTCAGGAGGAGAAAGAGGAGACGAAAACAGACATACTTTTGTATACCTATATGCCTGGCCTTCTGCTAGGCAACTTCCCTGCCTGTG